TGGATTCTTTCTTAAGTTCCACAGCCGGGCATATTTACCATTTAACCTTAGCATCCTGGAGCTTCTTTAAGCGGCCACACTTTCACACAAACCTTACAGACTATTCCATCTGCTGTTGGTTTTATTTAGAGAACGGCGGCTCTTCTTCTAGACTTTTCTTGCTCATGTATCCTTTCCGAGTCCGCCGATGTTTAATCCGGTTCAACGCCTAACTGGCCTGCGCCCTTTGTTTTTTACTTATTTAGTTTGACCTACAGCACGGTTTCACCCAATTTTAACCCAAGCAAATTAGGCTAATGAAGCTAATTAGTTTTTCTTTCATCTTCATAACCAAATATGTCCATTCGTTTCCAATCTATCACTCACCAGCCAATATGTATGAGGGTCCAGGACATATGAAATTTCATAAAATACAAACACATACACACATGTATTTCATTGGGTCATGAAGCATAGTTATTCAGAGTGCTTCAGGTATATGACTTGAACAAAGCAGTGCACGGGGAAGATGTTTTATGCAAAGCTACTGTATCTATCTGTATCTATCTACCAGCTGTTGATGAGAATTAGCCATGGACGCAGGCTTTCGCAGCTCGCCCTGTTTCCTCGTTGTTTGGTGCCATCTAGCGTTCTGTTGAGCACAGTGACAGCGTGTCTTCTTCTGGCTCGCAGCTCAGAAAGAGGAGCGACAGCTTGTTATTGCAGTGTGTGCGCGCGCACCACTGTGTATGTCAGAGAGAGAGAGAGAGAGAGAGAGAGAGAGAGAGATTTGGTTTATGGCAGTGTGCATTTGTGCACCGTGCGTGTGTGTGCTTGTGTGTGTGTATGCGTGTTTGTTTCCTTGAGTGAGTGTGACCTGACATTTTATAGTAGCTGTGTGTGTGTTGGAAGGGGAGGGTGAGGGTGTGCATGTGTGTGTGAAAGACAGAGAGAGAGAGAGAAAGAGAGAGAGAGAGAGAGAGAGGGAGAGAGAGAGAGAGAGAGAGAGAGAGAGGGAGAGAGGGAGACTTGGTTTATGGCAGTGTGCATTTGTTTGTCGCACTTTGTGAGTGTGTGTGTGTGTTTCCTTGAGTGAGTGTGACCTGACATTTTATAGCAGTGTGAGAATGTGCGCTTTGCGTCTTTGAGTATGCTCTTTTTAATTCCATCCACCAAAAACCTGCGTTTGTATGTTATTGACTGTCATATCTGAATCTTTTACCTCCCGCTTTCAAGCTCTTCCACGTTCGCCACGCATCAATGTAATATTTGAATGCTGAATGATAGCATGTCTGTGAAATAAATGTAATACAGCGCGCGGCACCGGAGGCGCAGATAAGAGCAGAAGTTGGGAGGGGTCTAGGCCTGCTCAGCCCGATGGCAGTCAAACGTAAAAGAATGCAGAGGCTGTAAATTCTCGAGGCTGTTGTTGCCGCCCTTTGAAGTGTCTGCATTCGGAGGAGATTTGTGGCGCTCGTGCAGAAAAGCCGAGCCTTAAGGCCCGATATGCCTTTATACGCACTCTCCTACCTCTTGAAGCCCGTCTGCTCGTCAGCAGATGACCGCTCCAAGGTTATTGCATTCTGCGGGGAATGAAGCGCGTCGAGGCCCAAGTGCTGCCTGACCTGGGTGCTCACTCACCGGAACTTATCCCCCTGTAATGCACACGCGCACACGCGCACCTACGCCCGTTGTATTTAACACTTGCAAAAGTATTCAGTTTTGAGTTCTGGCTGAGTCTCACATTCACAGCAAAAACAGACAGTGGAATTAGAAGGACAGACTGAGGGGGAGGAGGGGCGCTCCGAGTGTGCGCCGCGCGCAGTCAATACGGACAGTGTGCTGCTCTCTTCCGAGCGCTCTGTATATATTTGACTTGAACACTTAAAGTAATCACTGGCAAACATGTAGCCATTTCCGAAGAGACAACTTTGTTTGCGGGACACTGAATGCAGGCTTAGTGTTGACACTACTTGTTTCGTTTACTTATTGAGTTCAGTAAAGACCAGGTAAATACAAATACAGTCAGTATTTCAGTGCATACATTGAACGAGGTTTTATATATATTTTTTACAGTTATGCTATAAAGTATTATGAACAGTTTTAAAGTAGGTATACGTCAGACCACATGTTATCAAAACACAGGTAAGAATAATTTGACCACCTTAAAGAAAAAAAAAATGTATAGCCTATATAACAGCTGTAAATACAATAAAAACACATGGCAGTGTCTATCTGACCCAAACGTTCTATACATTTATTTTGTAGCAGTTTATACATATATATATATATTGAAAGTAGTACAATGTGAGAGATGTGAGAAGGGATTTTTTTTTCAAACAAACGTGATTGAATTATTGGTTTCTAAAAGGAAGCAGCAGTCTGGTCCATCATAGATTTTAAAAGCTATTAATCTTACGCAGTCCAGAAACTCCGTGCCTCGGAAGCGCACGCAGAAGCTTTTTTTTAATTTCGTAATTTTGTAATAGAGCGCACTCTTTTTATTTGACTCTAACACATTCAGAGTACATTGTTAAAATTTATCTTTTGAACTTCTTTCAGAATTTAACAACACATTCCAAGAACATTTAGGAATATACATAATTATACAACGCACAAAAGTCGCTAAACAGTGTCATTTCGTGTAGTACAGACTATATACACTACATTTACCACTTTACGGTGCAACTGTCGTCGCTATTTAAAAATATAAATATAAATATAAACATAACTATAAATATAAAAGAATCCAAAGAACCTTTGGACAGCAAAATTAAATAGTCTTAGAAGCTAATTGAAATATTATGAAACACAGAGGTACGTAACAGAGTTTGGGACTACCTTTTACTGTTTTATCAATCAAACATAAAACCAATTCTGTTCAAGATACACAAGTAAAGGTGAAACACAAATTTTCAAGCAAGTCATGTTCTTCAAGTCGCACAACGGTGAGTCAGTGCGCGCCGAGCGCATGGATATGTTATTTGAACAATTTTAATGTAGCATGAATTTCAAGCATTCATGACCGCATTGCAGTTAAACTGTAGATTTAAGTTTGTGACCCCCAGCCCTCAGGACACTCTCCTAGCTACTGAATATTTTAGTAATAAAATAGTGCCATCCAGTGCTAACAGGAACACGTATCAGTGGCAACAATAGAAAAATGCATAACATAAAGCACTTTTTGTAATATTATTTGAAAAATGACGGGGACAGCATTTTATAAAACATTTTTGTAAGAGAACAGAAAAAAGCAATAAAAACAGATACAGGAAAATAAAACAGCGTACAGAAATTTCCAGAAAATCTGTCATAAGAAGTCATGAAGGCACAACTTACTCACTATATAGACAATGCAAATTAGTGGGCAGTTACGGCACACTTGATAGAAAGCGAATGACAGCGAGTGTCGCTCCTTGTCCGTGTTGGTGTGAAAAAATGGAAACTTCTCTTCCTTATCAGGTCGCATTTGAAGTGTTTTCCTCTGTCCGCAGAAGAGATGTGATTTGAAGCTCTGAAACGGCTTATTTCAGGGCTCCTTCCACCACTGGCGCTCTGCATCATAGTTTGTTCGATGAGTTGATGTCAGCTCCGTTGCCTCCTTGGTTCAATTAAAGTGATATCTGTAGACAAAAATAAATGTTAAAAAGCATTAATTTAAAATAGACTTTTAAACATTTCACACGTTCTTTTCTTTGGTACTCCAGTAGCAAAGTGTAGAAATCAGATGGTTAAGAATTTATAAAAATTGCTAACAACAGTTACCACTCATTAATAATAAACACAGACTTTGACCGAGCAGGGTTTCCCCTTGATTTCTCTTACAAGTAGATACACAATAGGTGCTTCCCGTTCACAGAAAGCCAAGCAATGCGAAAGGAAACGCAGCATCCTCGTCATGCCAAAAGGAAACAGAAATGAAAGTAAAACGCACGCAACCCCCCGTGAGCCACCTTTAAAAATATCCACTTGTTGGGGCACAAATGGTTTATTGGCCGTAGAGCGACAGGACCCCGGCCAGTATAACTGTACTCCTGGTTAATGAAAAACACACGCGCGCTCGACTAGTGTGGTGAAAACTCGACAAATGCAGAAAAAGGACTGACTTCTTTGCTTTTATTCACAGGCCATATATACATGTTTTGCAATCAGTGTGGAACTCGTGCATGAAATGCGGTCAGAAAGCATGTGTCATGTTCAGAAAAGATATATGCAACAATAAACAGTTTTATTATGCCACAGTAAAGGTCAGATTAGAATAAGGAAATATGTGTAAAGGATAATTAAGCTACAGTGCATGAATAAATGCAGTTACATTACAATTACGCATTGCGCAACATTTATAAACGGCACAGATGAAGTTATCAAAAAAGGCAATAGTGCTTCTGCAACCTGTTGCGAGTACGCCGATTTCAGAGACTACTCAATCTCCGACTCACTCATTCCAGTGAACTTTTTATGATAATTGTTAAACAATATATATTTATAGATGACAGTGATGACAAAGAAATGAAATAGGGCATATGAATTCGCCTGTTTGCCCTGTGTCCTCAACTTTGCGATAAGACAGAATGAATCACATCTTTGAAAGCATAAACACTAAGACGTAAAGATGAAAAATCCACCGAGTGCAATTTTGAGTTATAGGTGCTTGGAAATCCGACTGCTTTATGTATTTGTTGGCTTATTTGTTGGCACCTCCTTTGTCTCTGGCGAGTGGATCAGACCATAATCTACTGTATATGAGCGCACCTCAGTCAAAGCAGAGGAGGGCGAAAAGTGGCGTTGTATTCAATTTAGCGCTTTAAAATTCCTATGTGATTCACATTGTGCAATCTCATTGGAAGGGAAAGGGAAGGGAGAAGGGCTGAAAAAAATACAGCTTTCTGCTTTGCTCTGGGGTCCCCCGGCGCATGCAATCACAGCCCCCCTCAAGGGTGCTATTTTGCAGGCACGGCCGCTTGCGATTGGTCAATGGCTGGTCAGATGGTACGGTTTCCCTCTGTCCCGCACTGGCACATAGCCACCCAGCACCCCCCCTCAACTAAAACCCAATCTCCGATAAACTACTAATAGCTAAACCACTTGGACTATAAAACACAACAAATCATAAACCAAGGAAAAGAGCTGTGCCCTCCCAATGAGTTCCTATTTTGTAAACTCAACTTTCCCTGTGACTCTGCCCGGAGGACAGGAGTCGTTCTTGGGACAGATACCCTTATACTCCTCCGGATACACAGACCCTTTACGACACTATCCCGGTGCTGGTTATGGAGCTAGCAGTGTCCAGGAGAAGGCGTACCCCTCCTCCTTTTACCAGAACGGTGCGTACGGCAGGGCGAGCGCCGCCGGTGCCTGCGATTACGCGACGGCGAGCTTCTACAGGGAAAAGGACCCCACTTGTGCCCTCTCCAGCATAGAGGAACACTCCCTCGTCCTCAGTCAGGACCACCGTAAAACAGACTGCACAGGGCCGGCGGGGAAAAGCATCTACACCGAGGGCGACGAACAGAAGCCGACGGCGCCGGTTTATCCGTGGATGCAGCGAATGAACTCATGCAACGGTAAGCGTCTCCCTGTCACGTTTCCCTCACTGCTCTCCATTATTTTTTGGCTCATTGTTGATACTCACAGCTGAAGCGAGCTACGTGACTTACTGCCCGAGTGTGTGGTGCCGGAAGCCCATACAGTGTAAATACTCTCACCATTCTGTTCGTCCCCACCATAATGTCACACTGAAACCAGAGAACACGCACATGCCACCCTTGTTATCGGTCGCACATTATAGCATATTTATATAGTCGTATTCTACCACTGATGAAGAATAATGTAGTTTGGCTGTCGCTAGGCTTATATTTATACCGAAGATTAAACGTGAAGTGCTTTGCAAGACCATGGCAGTTGCTGTATCAGCGCGTGCCTCTTAGAATAAAATGGTTCGTATTGTTGTTTTTGACAAGGTCCCCCTCTGTTCGCGCGCTCTTGCACACTATAGCAAAAGGCGCAAGGCAAATTCGCTTTATAATACCAAACTCTGCCGCAAAAGCCACGGAGAAATTGGTTTGACAGGAATAAGGAAAGTGGCGCAGTACTTTACGTATCAGCCCAGCGACAGTCAAGCTGATGTTGCCAAAAAAAAAAAACAAATCAGAGGGAAACCTTAGTAGATAGTGTAAGATCCACTTACAGGCTGTTGAATATTCTGATAAATGTCCCTTCTAAGAGCGCCATAATTCTTAACGGTGTAATGTTCCCCCTATTTTTATTTACTGCCTTTAAGAAGCTTAACTGTTTGTTTTTGCTGATAGAATGCTAAAGAGTTTCACGTGGGTTTGACAGCCTTGGTCTGTTAAAAATCAGCAACATCTCTAAAAATTCTAAGCGTCCAAACATGCAGAAGATCTCAGTGTATTTCCATAAAGATAAGACGTTTGATATGATACCTTAAAATAGACATAGTATACAAGCATGCAGCACAAATGAAAACATGGTGCTTCCTCAGTTTTCCTCTGAGAGTGTTTTTACATGATTCTGGACATATCCAACTCTGACTGGCAGTTATAGCAGAGTCTAAAGTGAAAAACAATGTCCAGTCACCAAAGTTATGTTGTAGATAGCATTTAAAATGCTTAAAAATTCTCCTGAGGCATGAGACTCGCAAGTCATGTTGTTGCCCTCGAGCTGTTTTCCTCGGATACATTTGTCATTGTAATATGCACGCTTTCAGTGTTAATGTTTGACTTTCCTTTCCCCCCTTTCTTTCCTTTTTTATGGACAGGGACCTTCGGTAACCCCGGCCGGAGGGGTCGTCAGACGTACACCCGTTACCAGACGCTAGAGTTGGAGAAAGAGTTCCATTTTAACAGGTATCTGACCCGGAGGCGTCGTATCGAGATTGCGCACGCACTGTGCCTGACGGAGCGCCAGATCAAGATCTGGTTCCAAAACCGGCGCATGAAGTGGAAAAAGGAGAACAAACTGATCAACTCTTCACAAACCAGTGGCGAGGAGGAAGAAGAGAAGAGGACAGAATGAAACTGTAAAGAAAAAAATGCAAGAAATATGAAAATGGCTTAGAAGGCATAAGACACCTCAACTTATCATCAGAAAGGATGACTCTCCCCTGTGTATATAAATTCGCGCCGGTGAAATTGTGTTGGTAAATTCACTGTAGCATTCCACTTATTGTCATTTTATTATTATAATTATTTTCTTTTTCTTTTTAGTTTCTTTTTTTTTACATGATGTCGTATTAATGTGTTTTTGTGCGCGCATATCATGACTTAGGATTTGGTCTCATAGATAAGACGACCATGTTTAACGAAGCTATTTGAAATGTTACATTCGTGTTCATATTTAAGCTATGTGAAAATAAAATGAGATTCTCATTGTACGAAATAACGTATTTCTTTCCAAACCTATCGTGATTTAGACATTGTTTAAGGTGCATAATGGGTTTACGAATAATAGTACTGGAGCTCGTACATATTTCAGGCTAGTCAGCTGAGATGAAGGTTTATATGAATTTTGTATGTGTTTGTAAATTATGTTGTTAATTTTATCAGGAAAAAAATAAACTAACAAAATATTTCACCTGCTATGTCCTGTTTACAAACAGCAGTGTCATTTTAGATGTAACCGGAACATTACTGAGGCACACAGCCTATGTGAAAACTATTTCCATGGAAAATAATTAAACAAGTGCGCAATTATTATATGCAACTGGTCCCGTTACAGGAAAGCGTGAAGGCGCTTATTTAACCCCATCAAATATTTGTAGCTTACTGGTCCAGAGATTTGTCCACAACTTTTATAAACACCAGATCGCATTTATCCTAGAACAGGCGTTACTTTCCAGGAAAACCACCTTGCCACGTGTTCTCATTGCCTCAGCGCCAGGCAGCGGTTTGCAAGGAACAGGTACATGCACTCAAACAACCCGTCAATCAAAGAACTGGTTTCGCTTTTCAAGACTGAAAGGCAAAGTGACCGACAACTCGATTGCAGTATGCCCTTTGCAATGTGAAAGGAAGGGGTCAGTGCTCTTTAGGAGATGGTTAAAGGAGAAAGCTGACCTGTCCGCGCCGTGCAATCACCCAGAGCCAGTCAAAAGCTTGGGAGCTTGAGCCACTTAGTTGTCCTCTCAGGTAAAGGCGTATAATTCAACATACGGGAACTCACGGCCCAGACACTACAATGACATATTAAAATATAAATAATCTGACTATTATCTGCAAACACTAAGTGTGCTTGCATATAAATAAACCTATGTGAACAGACATGTCTTTGTTAGTGTTTGACATGTCTTCGTAGTTAATAAGCACCTAAAACGACGCAAGAGATACATTTTGAATATTAGTGCAATTGCACTGCAGTTCTCCGACCGTCCTCTTTTGTAACCCTCTTTTCTATTCTTGCTCAGTGTAAAATGTTTACTCTGATGTAATCACTGTCTGGAATATTTCAACTGTAGTTTTCCGGTTTAAATGTAAGCACAAATGTATGACTCAAGGGTGGATTGCATATCATGATGCACATACATGAAATAACTCGTGTCTTTGTGTCAACAAACCATATATCAGCTTGAACCATCTATCACAGCCTCACATTCCTTATGGGCTATACAGTCCATAAATATTGCAGTGAGATACACTACTTAGTCCGTGTACGTAGACGAGGAGCTAAAATGTTCCTCTCGCTTAACCGGAGAATAGAAATGGCGTGCAAGTAACATTATCAGAGATCAACTGGACATACAGGGACATAAAACTAACTCGAAAGTAGACACTTTTTATCATCTAATAATATGCCTTTTTGAGAGGGGGTAGATTGTTATTATTATTATTATTATTATTATTATTATTATTAGTGGTAGTTGTGATAGTAGTAGTAGTGGTAGTAGTCTTGAGGTCCTTTTCAAAGTGGTGATTTAAACATTACCAGCTACAGTATGGTCTAGAATATGTTTTTAATACGGTTTTTAACCGTGCTGTGTATTATTATTTGGTTATTAACAATGCATTTTTGATTTGTAGACATTTTAGTGAATAAAACGGAAATACTCTAAACCTCGTCATGCTTACAACACGAAATAAGCAAGATACTGACCAATAAAATGATCTTTTTATTTTCACCGTAAAGAGAATAAAATGGGTAGAGAAACTTAGAAAATGTCTTCCTTGTGCTATAAATAACTTCCCCAGTAGGTGACGCTGTCTACTCACACGCTGCATTTCCATGCCATGGGAGGCACACGTTGACTCGAGCCTAACGACTCCCCGTCTCGTCATCATTTGTAACCATAGAGCATGAATTACCTCTTGAAGTCATCAGTGAGAATTTACGACTGGTCAACAAAAGCACGTGATTCCCAAACGCACCCCCACCCCCATATTTGGCCGCATACATAGCAAAAACGAAGTACAGTGCATTGCTATAATTCATTAATACATCATAAATCGTGAAGCACAGCGTTATAACGACCAAGATCTACAAATCAAGCCCTCTAAAACAACCTAAATGAGCTCTTACTTTGTAAACTCGTTCTCAGGGCGCTACCCAAATGGCCCCGACTATCAGTTACTAAATTATGGAACTAGCAGCAGCGCTATGAACGCCTCGTACAGGGACTCCGGCACCATGCATTCAGGCTCTTACGGCTACAACTACAATGGGATGGACCTAAGCGTCAATCGTTCAACCAACACGGGCCATTTCGGGGCAGTTGGGGACAACTCCCGGGGCTTCCAGTCTCCAGCCCCGGAGACGCGATTCCGACAGCCGTCAAGCTGCTCACTCGCGTCCCCGGAGCCGCTGCCATGCTCCAACAGCGAGAGCCTGGGACCTAAAGGCTCTTCACCCCCTTCCGACCAAAGCGCCTCCACCGCGGGTAACAACCTCACCAAGAGCACACATTTCACAGAAATCGACGAAGCCAGCGCTTCATCCGAGACCGAAGAAGGTTCCCACAGAGTGGCCAACCCGGCTCCCCGGACGCAGCAGAAGCAAGAGACCACGGCAACCTCCACCACCTCGGCGGCTAGCGATGGCCAAGCGCCACAAATATTCCCCTGGATGCGGAAACTACATATTAGCCATGGTACTCTTGTATTATCCTTACGCCTCTTTGCTGTTAGCGAAATAGCATTGTTGATATGAGTCTCTGCGCTGTTTGTAGCTAAACTGTGCTGCTAGAATTAGCCTTTATTTTACATTTCCGAGAAAGTGCCATAAATCTTTCAAATGTGGAGCCTCGCAAGCTGTACGAGAGAAAGGGAGCGAGGTGGAAGAGAGGGCAGTGAGGCTTAGAAGTTGTTGTTTCTTTGAAAACTTCTGCTTTATGGCGTGTGGGAATGTGATTACTTTAGGGGGAGAAGAGAGGCAATAAAACTGAGAAAGGCGAGAAGGAGAAAAGGTGGGAGAAGTTGGGGGAAATCAAACGTTGAGAGGAGAAAAGGGGCTATTTGTGAAAATCGAAAGAAAATTTTAAGCGAGCTTCAATAAATCTAACACAATATTTCATTGGATGAAGTTTGAAGAACAGTTAGAGAGACTGACTGCGAGGCAAACGTGCAGTGTACCATTTGGCGATTGCACTGCATTCAGTCATAAATCGTGAGTAAGACATTGGTATTTGTATGTTCTTTTCCACACTGCAAGAATTTGTTGGCAATCTGCTGTTCTAATGCTGTGTTGCGCCACTCTCGCTAACGTTTTATTCACTCTTGCATTTTATCCATGCCATTCAGATATGACTGGACCAGACGGCAAAAGGGCCCGAACTGCCTATACCCGCTATCAGACGCTAGAGCTGGAAAAAGAGTTCCATTTCAATAGGTATCTCACCCGGAGGAGGAGGATAGAGATAGCCCACGCTCTATGCCTCTCAGAACGACAAATTAAGATCTGGTTCCAAAATCGGCGGATGAAATGGAAAAAGGACAATAAGTTGAAGAGCATGAGCCTGGCTACCGCAGGTAGCGCTTTTCAGCCATAGTGCTAACGCAAATCATATCTAAGTGTTGTGCAAATGAAATCAGGAGGGAAAAAAAACTAATGAAAATATGTTTCAATACACTATACCGAGTACTGTAAAAAGCGGCACCTTTCGGCATGTTGTTGGATGTTTTAGGCAACTTAAAATTCTGTGGTACTGCTAAAACTTAACGGAAGTTAGTGTTCATAGGCTGTTCTTTTAATACTATCTTATTATTTCGAGGAAAAAGGGAAAAAAGGGAAAAAAATACAAAATGCCGCCCGTTGTCCTTGTTATGAATATTGTTTGTGTCAAGTGCTATGTTAATGCTTTCTTGAGAGTTAGCATGTGAGCTCTTAAATGTTATAACTTATTTACTACCTATAAACGTGTATACCTTTGAGTTTACAGCTTAGAGAAGCCTCTGCCCAAATATGAAGTGAAGCTCTAGTTTAGTGGTGACTGCAGTAAGTTCAGCAGGAGCCTTAATGTGTTCCATGGTCCTATATGTTTTAATGTCATTGTCTAGATAATCTTATCGGACTTTTGTCATGTGTTCAAATTCTTCAATTATTTTTGAAAAAAAAAGGAAATTTGTAAATAGTCCTCACTAGATTCCTGTATCCGGTCATACGTGTGTATAGTTATATTCAAAATATGTAATTGTATATTACTGGATCATGTTTATGTTCCCCTCAAAAAAAGTTGTACATATTGAACATTTTTATTGTGACCAGTTGGCTATTTGTAGTAGGCAGAGTGAATGGCAAACGTGTGTGGAAAGCGAAAAAAAAAGCTAATGTCATGTTGAACTGCCTGTAAGCATTTTGCCAATACGCTTTTTGTATTTGTTTGTAGCTTAACTTGGAGTAAAAAAAAAATAAATAAATAAAGTTCCCCATATTCAGACCCAACACTTCTAGAGCGGTGTTTCTCTTTGTATTTTGTACCCGCCACTCTCGGGGGTTTAAAACGAAGATGTGACGGTCCAGTACAATTAACGCACATACAGGACAATTTGCTTCACTTGGTAACAGTTTCTAGCGACAAATCACATATTTACCATTATAAATACAACACTATAAACAATATGCTTAAAGCTTCTAGTAAAACTCAAGGCCTTCTGCAAGATAAACCGTAGACTACACCACGCCACAACCTAGCATGCAAAACTTTGCCTGGAACTTTAACGCATATGGCACACATCAAACACAAACAGTTAAAATAAATCCAAGCACTGCTTTAGAGCTGCACAGTAAAATGCCAAACTTAAAACAACGGGATTTCTTTCTCATATCTACGACATTTGCAAGATCTTCATTTTATAATAGGCTACATCGCCACTCACTATACAGTAGAACTTTCAATAAACAAACACTGAACTTTAAAACTTACCACGAGT